AGAGAGAGAGAGAGAGAGAGAGAGAGAGAGAGAGAGAGAGACTTACAGAACTGTTGATCACGTAATGTTAGTCCTTTTAAGAAAGGGAAATTACAGTTATATATAAAATTTTAATACATGCACATTCACCCTATATGCACACAGTATATTTTGTAAAGGACATGCTGGAAGGGGCTGGAGAGATGTCTCAGGGTCTAAGAGCAGGTACTGCTCTTCCAGAGGATCACAGTCCAGTTCCCAGATCACAGCTCTAATTCCAAGGAACACCACACCATTTTCTTCCCTCTGAAGGCACTGGGTTCATGTATACAAATCCATCCTCAGCCACAGCACATACAATTATCTAAAAACTTTAAAAACAAACAAGCAAAACAACAACAATGGATGTAAGATGTGATAATATGATAGCTACTCTGAGAATTCCTTTGTTTCAGTACTTCAAACATTAAAATTCACAGCTTGGGTGGCCTCCTGGTTTTCTACCAACATAAACTAGATAGATGGGCCAAGGGTGCTGGTTAACATTCTATAAATCAGGACAGCCTCCACAGGAAACAGCCAACTAAGTGTCAACATGGTCATTGTTGGGAACCCTGGATTTAGGGTAAGGGTGAAGGAGGCAGCAAAGACTCTGATGTTTTTTAGAGTTGACCTGCCCTTAAAAGTTTAAAACCTGACCAGCATTCTCCCCACCATGTCGGCTTGCTTCCTAGAAGGAATGCAAGATGGCAGACAGGGTTTTTATTCTCATTTGTATGAAATATCAGCACTTCCGAGTCTGATTTTTCCAGTACAAAGTAGTGGAGTCTTGAGACACAGGCACTGGCCACCTCTCTTTATTTTTCTATGCCAGCTGAACAGGCAATCTACCTCCAGCCCCAGAAACTAAAAGTTTTTTTTTTTCCTCCCTCACTTCTGTTCTGTCATATCCATCCACTAAATGCTGGTATACTTTTGAGCATCAAGAAAATCAGCCGCACAATCCTCGGTAGGGAGTACTGAATGGGCTAGGTTATAGTGTTTTCAGGCTCTCACCTGGCCCTGAGCTCTGCTCTTTCCTAAGGGCTGTCTGTGGCCCTGACTCCGCCCGCTTCCTCCTCCCCTAAGGTATTTGAGGCCCGGGGCGGGTGTGGCCTGCGCCTTCTCGTCTCTGCTCTGCTCGCTATCGGCCAGGAAACTTGAGAGTTCGGGGTATGCTCTACTATGGGGTAGCTGTGGCGCGGGGTCGTTGGGGACGCGGGAGGGCGTAGCGTGTGGTGTCTTGTCCTAGCTCGGGTTCCCGCAGCGGCCTTGAGGCCCGTGACGCAGCTGGGTTAGTAGCCTTGTGGTCCTGGCAGGCTGGTGACATCGCCGCCCTCCCAACTCCTCCAGCGTCCGTAGAGGAGGCGGTTGGTACAGGATGGGGCGGACGCAGAGCCGGCCCAGCTGCTGTGCCGGAGTCCTGGGCTACAGGTGACCACGTACGTCCCTCGGTCACCAGTGATTCTGGAGACCCTGGAGACACGGGCTGGTGACACACTGAGACGGGCGTTGGAATCTGGGGTGGGCTGGGGGTGGGGTGAGGATGGCGGTTCGGAGAGAGGCCAAAGGCTGGGTGCTCCCTCCCTGCTTTCCTGTCCAGTGTGCCTGAGTCTCTCGGGCGAGGCTCAGGCTGTGCTGGGAAGTTCCGACAAATCCTCAGTGTGGTGGAGGCCTTCGAACATAGATAATTATTAGAAACCATTCCAGATCTTTGAATTTTTTTTTCCATTAAACTCACGCCAGAAAAAACTGTTGCGAGATTTGATGTCTGTCGGGCTAGGAGGAAGGACATGAGCAATGTTTTGGTGGGGTTTCTGTGCCAGATGAAATTGGCATGAAAGTTAGTTTTTTCCTCCGTTCTTGTTTTGTTGATGGACCCAGCGCCTTGTTCTGCTTAGCAAGTGCTCTGCCAGCAAGCCACAGGCCTAACATTCACGTGGTATCAGGAAGCTGGATGTGAGGGAACGCTGGGTGAGGTTTGGCACTTAGTATTTTTTGGCCTACTTGGGCGGCAATTGGTTGTGTTAGGACTCATCTGGAGGCTGCCCATTTCCTTCTGCCAGCAGTTTAGGACATGGGTGTGGGGTTTTGATGTATCAAGTAACCTTGGGAAACTGTGTGATCAGGGATTAACTTTATAGTGCTGGGGCACCTGGAATGACCCCACTGTTATCAGTATATTTGGGGAGTGTCCCAGTGTTTCATGGCTGCCCTGAGTGGTATATCCTCTGTGAGTTGTATCATCACACAGAGATGGTGCATTTGGGTCACTCTTGACTCAATACACCAAGCTTATTTGGTCCCCCCATACCTTCAGGTCTCCCCCATACTGTCACCATACATGAATTTCACACGAAGTCAACATGAAATAGCAAATAGAAGTAAAAAATCTGACAGAAAGCATTGTAGGACAATGGAAATGTATTGCTGCACACCTGTATTCCCAGCACTCAGGAGGCTGAGGTAGGGGGATAAGAGTTTGAGGGCAGCCTGGGCTGTATGGACATATATAGACCTTTTTCCTTTCCTTGTTTTCTAAACAGTATACCAGTGTATGGTAACAGGGACCATTTATCTAGCATTTGCATTGTGTTGGGTATTTACTCATCTCCAGACCAAAGTACATAGGAGCATGTACATTGGTTAGGTCAAACATTAAGTTATTTTATATAAGTAAATGGAACACTTGAGGATTTTGGCATCTTCAGATACAGACTGATATCCTCCAGAGACCCAGGAATGACTGCATTTTAAATTGTTAGGCCATTTCCTTCCCAAAGCACATTTAAATTTGTTTAGTGAGTTACACCTAGCTCAGGCCAATAGCAGTAGATTGAATTAGAGTAATCAACAGCTGTGTCCCCCACCAACCCAGTATCTGGCAAGAAGAATCTGCAAGGATATGCTATAGGATCACATGGAACACCAACCCTCTGTGTCTGAGTTTACTGGACCTGGGATTCAGTCAAGTAATCAGTCTTTGCAAGCCTGTCTGCTGTGTGCTGGGCCACTGTGCTGGCAGAAGGGAACATATCTGACCCACTGGCCTCAAAGGGCTGTACAAATGCTGTTCTTTGTGTGTTCCTGGACTTGGAGAAGGTTGATGATGATTTTCTAGTTGGCAGGTTCTAGAGTCACTTAGGAGACAATACTTGGGAACACCAAAGAGTTACTGTCTTGATTAGGTCAGTGTCTTGGTCAGGCCTCTGAGGAACTAGCCTGATTATATCAACTGAGGTTCGAAGAGCTACCATAAAAGTGGGCAGCTCAATTTTCTGGGCTGCATAAACAGTAGAACGCTAGCTGAATTCACAAACATTCGTCTCTCCCCGAACTCTGGCCGTATGAGGACCTATGAGCCAAAGGAAACTCTCACTGAAGTTGCTTCTGTTGTATTTTATCACAGCAACACACATTAGGGAAGTCCTGGATGAGCTCAGTTCAAGAGTTCTAGCATCTGACAGATGGGTGATGCAGAAAGAGAGAGCACAGAGTCAGTCTATGAGAAATGAGCAGTACTTTAAAAACTGTTTCCAGACTGAAGGGGAAATTCTCTTGAATTGCTAGTTTGAAAGGGGTCCTCCAAAAGCCCAGCAAAATGCATGAGTAGAACTCAGAGAGGGACAAAAAATTGGGCATTTCTGAATAGCAGAAATAAGAATAAGTTCATAAATTTTCAGAGTTGGGGTTGGAAAGGGGGGGCAGTAGGTGGATCTGGGGTTAGTATATCATCATGCCTTCAAACAGCAAAACTGGTAGCTGGGAAAGCAGTGATGCCATAACTGAAAGAACTAGATATAAAGTCACCTGTAACCTTTTATAGATCCTGACAAACTCAGTGACATGGAAAAATAATAAATTTTCAGATGTTCAAGAAACCAGGATAGCTGTATTCATTCTTAGAAAGTAGTTAGACCATGTGCTGCATCAAAAGAAGGGACTAAATGACAAAACAAGAGTATGTTTCGGCCCAGAACAGATGATATATGCAAAGAGGTATGAGCTGTATAGTATTCCCAGCAAGGGTCTAGGAGTCCTATCACTAACATGCTCAATAAACGCCAGTTGTTATGAAGCATACATAAGATGAAAGAGAAGGGTAGCATGCTTGAGTGTGGATATCAATGCCTCTAGGTGCCAGTGGATCTCAGAAGAATCGAGTGCAGGAGAACTTGCAATGGTGATCTAAAGTATGGACCATGGGACCTTAAAAGAAGCATCTATCCTATCTTGTCAACTGGTGTACCCAACCATAGCAGCTGGATTTTCTTTGTGTGTATGTGTGTGTGCATGCACACACACTTAGGTTGTGTAGGTGTGGACACACACGTGTCTTGGCTTCATGTGGAAGTCAGAGACCAACCTCAGATAGGGGTCCATGCCTTTCACTTTGTTGAGATAGGGTCTCATAGTTTGCTACTGCATTTTCTAGGCTTCTGAACTGTGAGCTTTCAGATATTCTGCTGTTTCTACCTCTCATCTTACAGGATTGTAATTATAGGTATGTGCCACCTTGTCTGTTCTTACATAGGTGCCAAGGCTTCAAACTCAAGTCCTCACACTTGCTTGACAGGCACTCTATCCACTGAGCCTTTCCCCCAGCTTAATGGCTGTGTTTTACATCTGCACCAATTCTCAATCTGGTCTTTGAGCATTCAAAGAAAGCAGAAAAGGACCCATACTATGCCCTTGGTCTGGAAGCGTGAATTTAGCATAGTATTCTCTTGTTGCTGTAAAGCCAGGAAGTTGAGATCAACAGCTCAGGGTCAAGTAACCAATTTACAGAGATTCTCACTAGCCACATAAGGACAGTTTTGTGCACCAGGAAGACAAAAATACCAGTTAATTGGATTTTTTTTTTAAGTAAAAAGGCTTGAGACCATGAATAAATTTAAATGAGGTAAATAAGATGACTTAAAAGGAGCAAAAGAATTCAGCAGTGTTTACACTCCTTTTAGGAATGGTAAATATTAAAGTTCCCAGTCAAATGTAATCGTTCAAAAGGCCAGAAAAAATATTGGATTAGGACGAAATTACTTAGTACAAATTGAAACTCATATATAAGAAAACTCAAGTAATAATATTGCAGAGAGGTACCATGTTGTTTGGATGGTTGAAGCCCAAAGTTATTTTAGCTAGCTGAACATGCTTGGTGGCCACAACAAGAGTGAGTACCTGGTGCTAAGGCACAGTGGGATGGCACAGTGACCTTTAACAAGGCAGCCCTAGTCTTGTTTCTGCAGGGAGAGGACGCTCCCTGAAGACTAATTCAATCCCTGGACACCCCTAAAGTAAGCCTGGTCATGTCAGATTTGCACAGACACCTCTTGACCTCTGGAGGTTCTATGTGGTACCTGTGCTGTGCCTTGGATTGTTACACTGTCACAACCGGTTTGCATTCCTTTGCTATTCTCAGTTAAAATCTCTTGTCCTGATTCCCCCTCACCTGCTTCCTCCTTTCTGTTTGCATCTCAGCCACTATTGAAATAGAGAGCGTTCTTCCATAGCTTCCTGAGGGCTGTGATTACAGGTATCATGGCTAGCCACAGTCGTTTGTTCTAGAGAACCCAGTTCTCTGAATTAACTTCTTTTATAAGGCGGTATGTGATTGCATTTAGTGACCATTTGAATGATGAAATATGAAAAGTTTCTACACCCTGATAAACCCTCTACCTATGCAGCAATCCAAATCAGACCAAATCAAACTGAATTGGAAAAAGCCCACATTTAATGGATACAACGCTCCCCGGTGGACTTCCAGCCTCCCAGAGAGGAGAAGGGAAAGGGAGACCGGAAAAACCATGAGTCTGTTCTCTGGGGGACAGTTTAAATACCCCGTGGGAGTGGTCTTGAGCATCTCTGGGGTAGGGGTCATAATTTGGCGGGCTTTCTGATATGCAGCAGGGTTTGAAGGGAGAGGGGGGACGGGAGTTGGGAGGAACCTCCACCATCACATCCCAGACTCGTTGGGTGCATGGATGCCAGGGGCTGGAGCAAAGCTTCCACCTTAACATCCCAGACTCTTTGGGTATTTGGATGCTAGGCACTGGGGTGAAGCTTCCACATTAATACAAGGCTCTTCATCTCAGGATCCATAATCCTCACTGCAGAGTCTCTTAGTGAGTGAAGAAACTTTCCCAGGTTCCGGGGTTTGGGACCTGGGTGTCTTTGGGTTCTCTGTGCAGCTGACCACAGCTATAGCTGTAATGCTGAGCAATGTGTTCTGTTCTCTTCACTACAACTGGTCACCCTTCCATTCCCTGTGGCCCGTTACCTCCCCTCCCATGCTCTGAGTTCCCAGCCACTGCTCAGGGAGCTGATGGGAAGTCTTAGAACTGTTGTACTGTCTAACTGGGGGAAAGGAATTTGACAACTGTGTGTGGATGATGTCAGAGCTGACAGGCCCTGCTTCCAGCCTGCACTGCTGCAGTTGTGGACTTCCTGACTGCTGGGTCCTTACCTGCCTCTTGTCCTCTGAGCCCATTCCTTCTGGTTCCCCATGTATTGATTTCTGTACAAGAGAAAGACAAGGCACTGGCATGAGTTAGCCCCAGCAGGGCTTCACCACTGTCTGCACGTGACCTTCACTTTCCAGGCTGTGCTTTCCCCTTCGTTCACAGGGTATCACATTGTGAGTGAGAGTGAAGATGCAGCCTACACATCAGCCTGTATTTATGCAATATTGATTTTAATTCCTCTTTCCAGGCTCGCTATCATGGATCATCTTCGGGAAGCAAATGGCACCTTTGCTTTAAACCTTTTGAAAATACTGGGTGAAGACAGCTCAAAAAATGTATTTTTCTCACCCATGAGCATCTCCTCGGCCCTGGCCATGGTCTTCATGGGGGCAAAGGGCAACACTGCAAGCCAGATGATTCAGGTAACCAGCACCATTCATAACAGATGATTACCACAGATGGTCAGTTGAGCTGATCCTCCACATTTGCATCCTCAAACAAATATCCATCTTGAGGAACAACTGGGAGTGAAATGACAAAGGGTATGGTTGTAGAGTTGAGAGGAAGGATGCACTATACCTGTTAGGACCCTATCACTGACTCACTGGTGCTCACTGTGTGTGTGTGAGGGTTAGCTTGAGTAAAAACCCCAAAGCGTGGTTCCAGGGTCCCCTCTGATGCCCACTGTCTTCTCTCTGGCCTTAACGAATCTAGCTTTTCCACAGATAAGGAAGACTAGAAAAGGGTCAGCCTAGGCTGGAAGACCAGGCACATATCCATTAGGGCTCTTCTTGGACATAGTGCTTTAGCCGCAGAGGTATATGGACTGCAGAGACAGCTGTCCCAGCATAAGAGGGGGAGACTACCTTGGGCTATGACTTTGCATTCCATGTTAACTCTTGGCGGCAGCTTTCCATTTTTCTAAAATGTACTGTGTTTGTTGCTTTCTCAGCCTGCCTCCTTATTGGAGAGAGTTAGGGCCTGAAGTTTAACTTCAGTTTAAAGGGACTCTTTCTCTTTTAGTTCCAAGCTATTACAACTACTGATAGGCAGTTTACATGTTTTCTGTGGGAGTCCCTGATGTCATTTGTGTAGCTTTTTCAGAGACTTGGGAGGTCTATAGAATTGTATCTAAGGTGTTTACTGTACCTAGGTGTTCACTGTTGGGTGGGGTCTTGCTTCTCTTTCAAGCGACTTTATGTGGTGACGGTTACTGCGGGATTTCCATGTGGTCTCCTGCAGGATGGCTTGGATTTCCTTCCACTATGGTGGCTGGGGACAAGAGCACAAATGTGGCATCTGCCAGGCCTTTTAAAGCCTAGGCCTAGAACAGGGTCACTCTCCTCCATTCTGTTTGGCAGACAGTGCTGGAGCCAGTGCAGACCCCAGAGCAGGGGAGAGACAGCATGAACTGAGGTCAGAAACTGGCTGCACTTGAGTCATAGCAGATCTGATTGGTAGCCATGCTTGAAGCCAGAACATAGTTAGTGACCATGAAAGTCTGGGTTTGTGAAGGGCCATTTCTGCTCAGACCGGGGCTGACAGGGTGCAGGGGAGGACCCTAGAGAGGAAATGGTCTGTACTTTCCCCTTTAATTAGGTGGCTCTTTGAGTGGCAAGGATCTATAAGATCTGGAGCATGGGTTTAGTGTTGACTCGTTTCCTCTAGCTGGGCCTGCTGAAATTATGTTGTAATCTGTTTTGATTTCAGGCACTCTCTTTGGATAAATGCAGCGGCAATGGAGGTGGAGATGTCCACCTGGGCTTCCAGTCACTTCTCTGTGAAGTGAACAAGACTGGCACACAGTACTTGCTCAGAACAGCTAATAAGCTCTTCGGGGAAAAGTCTTGTGATCTTTTAGCAGTAAGTACCATGTGGCTTGCCCACTAACGTAGTTTTGTATTGGTGTACATGCTTTGCAGCCATGTGTGTATATATTCTTTTTGTTTTGTTTTGCTTTGTTTGTTTCTCAAGACAGGGTTTCTCTGTGTAGCATCCCTGGCTGTCCTGGAACTCACTCTGTAGACCAGGCTGGGTGGGTGAAAACTCACAGAGATCCACTTGCCTCTACATTCTGAGTGCTGGGCCTAAAGGCATGCACCACCACTGCCCGGCTGTGAGTGTGTTCTTATTGTACAGAATATCTAATCAAGAGCCATCCTCTCCCTCTGCCCCTTCACAAATAAGAGCTTTTTATATAGAGTGATGTGTGTGTTCTGCACATACAGAAATTTAGTCGGTGAGAATTTTCCCTGTGTGATACCATTATGTGTATTGTTTTTTTGTTTCTTTCATTCTTTGAATCTCAGTATCGGGTGACTCTGTCTCATTATTATTATTGTTGGTGATGGTGCGAGAGATGGAACCCAGAGTCTCACACATCTAAGTCTGCAGCTCTCCCACTGACCCACAGCCCAAGCACTGTTTGGTATTATTAGCCACCATCTGATAGTACTGAGTATAGATCTATGGTGACATAGTGAACCATTTGTGTGTAGCTGGCAGTGTGGGCCATTACCAACAGTGAGTTACTGGATGTGGATTCATGCCCATGTGCATGGGTTGCTGTCAGATCCACATGTAAAAGGAAGACGAAGCCTTAAGACTGTAATAGGTATTTCTCATTGCTCTCCCAAATGGCATGAGATATTAGAAGAGTGTTCATTTCTATCCCTGTCAGGGGCTTGCACAATCATAGTCTTTTAAATTTTGATCTTGAGATTGGAAACTTCTTTTTTTTTTTTTGAGCATGTTCAAGTTGAACATCCCTAAATCCAAAAACAAAAATCTGAAACCTGAAAACTCCTGAATGGAATTTGGGTTCTATTTCTAGCACCCACTTGACAGCTCACCACCATCTGTAACTACAGTTCTGAGGAATCTGAAGCCCTTCTCTGGCCTTTGCGAACACAGGCACACATGCTACACTGATATACATGTAGGCATAAAACTCATTTACATAAAAATATATAATAATTTAAATAATAAAATAATCTATCCAGATCTAACGGTGACCCTCTGAGGTGTAGCCATTGCTATCTTCTCATTTACAGTGGTTGAGGTGTAAAGAGACGAGCTCTGCTAAGGCCACTCAGCTGGTGGTCAGACTGTGGTGTTGAAACTGTTTCCCTCAGGGACTGGAGAGATTGATCGTTCACTTGGTAAATGGAATGCCTGGTATGAAAGCATGAAGACCCAAGTATTACTGTTAGCGTGGTAGAAGGTCCAGCCTGTGCAGTGCAGAGGTGTCACAGCTCTTGTGGGGTCACCCCTCACGCTGTCCATGTACTGGTCTATCAGAGTGACAGCTGTGTAATACTGCACAGAGGGTCTTCCCAGTTACCTCCTTGAGTCTCAGCTATACGGAGGTAGCTATTCATCATGCTTCTTAGTGGTACTCAGACCAACCACCATCTTATCTCATTAATAAACTAAGGTTAAAGAAAGCTGGAAACGGGAAGGCTAGATTTTACACTCTTTCCATATATTTGTCTGCAAATCATGTCTGTACACCATTAAATTTTGATTTTCTGTTTTTGTGCATCAAGAAAGGAGGCTGTTGGTGTTAATCACATTCGAGGCTGCATAATCACATTGCTCTGTCTCAGTCTTTTAAAGATTCCTGCCGCAAGTTCTACGAAGCAGAGTTGGAGCAGCTGGACTTCCAGGGTGATACAGAGCAGTCCCGACAGCACATCAACACCTGGGTCGCCAAGAAGACAGAAGGTGAAGGCGGCATCCTTCTGTTTTGTTTGTTTACAGAGATGGAATTTGAACCCAGGGCCCTGAGCATGCTGAGCAGGACGCTGCCCCCCCCCCACCAGCTACACTCCAGTCCCTTTTAAGCAGTTAGCCTATTTTTTTTAAGATGGTGTATTTTTTTATTTGTTTGTTTTTTGTGTGTTTGTGTACATCTGTGCATACCTACAGCCAGGACAGCTCATAGGAGTTGGCTTTTTCTTTGTACCACTAGGTCCTAGGGACTCTACTCAGTTCTTCAGGTTTGTTAGCAAGCACCTTTTTCGGCCAGGCCATCTATCTCTTTCTAGCTTTATTTATTTATTTATCTATCTATCTATCTATCTATCTATCTATCTATCTATCTATCTATCTATTTATTTATTCATTTATTTGAGATAGGGTCTCACTGTGTAACCTTGGCTGCCCTGAAACTCACTATATAGACCAAGCTGGCCTCAAACTCAGAAATCTACCTGCCTCTGCCTCTTAAGTGCTAGGATTAAAGGCATCCATCACTATGCCTGGCTTTGTAGTCTATTATTAATAATCGTATTGTTAATGCCTTCCTAAGAGCTTCAAATGTAAACAATAATGACCTTTGGTCTTTAAATAAGGACTAATTTTGACATGCCTTGGCATTGAAACCAAGGACATTTGTATACTAGGCAAAATACTCTAACATTGATCTGCGTCTTTAGCCCTAAATCAGAAGCCAGAACTCGTTTTGTGTTTTCTTTTTCATTCAAAACAAGGTTTCTCCATGTATCCCTGGCTTCCTGAAACTCACTCTGTAGACCAGGCTGGCTTGGAACTCAGGGATCCTCCTGTCTCTGACTCCAGAGTGCTGCCATTAAAGTGTTGCAACACTATGCCCAACCCCTAAGTCAGAGTTCTTAAACTGTCCATCACAACTCCTTTTTGCCTGAGAAGATTTTATGTGACCCTATGCAGTGTATAAAGCAGGTATACATTTAGAAAATAAATCTACAGAAATATGTTTTAAAACAGATTGTTGATATAGGTATAATTTTGTCATAATTAAAGATGGAGTCAAAATTGCATACCAATGAGGTAGAATAATAATAGGTAATAAATTAAAACTTATTAAAAAACTTTATAGGTATGAGCATATGCCTACCTACATTTATGTGCACCCTGTGCTTGCAGGTGCTTGCAGAGGCCAGAGACTGCCAGATCCTCTGGAACTGGAGTTATAGGCAATTGTGAACCACCTGATGTGGGCACTGTATGAAATTTTAACCATTTTAGTCATCTCTTCATCTCCCCAAAGATGTAACAATTTGACACTTACATAACTGAGAATGACAGTATGAAAATAGTGAGAGCATTTTTCATAATGAAGCCATTCTGTCTCTATAAGAGCAGGAAACTTTGTGTGTAGACCACAAATGCCACATTTCTAACTTGATTTTGAATATGAGCTGAGATGTTTCATGCAGTATTTGTTGGCATTGAACTTTATAGAATAGCACAACGGTACGCACAGGACAAAGTGCTTGTGTATGTTCAGGACCAAGGCCACTGTGAAGTGGTGTGAAGCATGATGGGAGATACTGCCATAAGCACCTTGGACTTATCATGCATTTGAGTTTTGATGAAGTTTTGGCTACTGCATGTTTAGAAAGATGTTGTAACTATTGGCAGTTTTCCCACTAGCCCCACAGTCAGGCAGTAAAATCATAAACTGTAGCTTAGGAGGCTTTTGCTCTAAATAAATGCAAATTTACAAAGCTGTCTCTAAAATATTGTCAGTGTCTGACACATTGCCTAGCTTTTTCCTGTTGCTTTTTATTTTTTAAAGACAGTGCTCACTATGTAACCCTAGTTGACTTGTATCCTATTATATAGACTGGGTTGTCTTCAAATTCAACCTGGCAGTGGTGGGATTAAATGTTGGTCACTATATCTGGCTTTTCCCAGCTTTCAACAGCGTGTCTGTGATATCTCCCAACATTTGATACACCTACTTGAAAACCAACCAATCTGCTATCTCTCCCATCCTTGGTGCCTCCCTCCTACTGTTCCTCCCTCTGTCTCATTTTTTCCCCAAAGGTTTTTACAAAGAATACAGAATGCTTTCATTCTAGGTCTGCAACTCTTTCCTCTCTGGGGGTGATGCTCCCATTCTGTAGTTCTCTAGCATGGTTGCAGGTGCTGGGCCGAACCCCCACCTACCTGTGGTTGTTAGATTGCTTTATATGTAGAAGGTCCATTTTAAAACTGCTATTCTACTTTCAGTTTATTTATAAGCTCATAAATAAATATGCATGTTGGCAAGTTTCCGTATAATTTTCAGTGTGCATTCTCTAACGTTCAGGTCAAGGTAAATATATCTCTGTTACTTCAAATACTTTTAAAATTTGAATTCGTGGCTAGTCTATTTTAAAACAGCCTAAAGTTGCTTTCTTAAAGTTGTAGGCACCAATTGTCTCTTTCCAGCTCAAGTGTTACTTTTAAATTCCAACTGCATGTTTAGCATCAACTTATGTGTTTATTTGAATGATGAGGTTTTTCTTACTAGAACCTTTTGGGCTTATTTTTCTTCTCTTGAAAACTTTAAAGAGTTTGGCTGTGGTGCTGAAGAGATCACTTAGCAGTTAAGAACACAAGCTGGTTTTCCAAAAGAGCTGAATTGGTTCCCAGCATCCCTAACAACTTCCTATATTTCAGTTCCAGGGGATCTAACACTTTGGGCCTCTGTGGACATCACATGAGAGTACACACACACACACACACACACACACACACACACACACACACCATTAATTAAAAATAAATCTTAGAAAACACAAATGTGTCTTTTTGTTGATGTCAGGGTTGTTAGGGTTGTTGTTGCTTTAAGGACAATGTCCTTCTATTTTGAGAGAAAGTGAAATCTTTTATCCATGATCCTGACCAGAGCAGGATGTGATGCCATTTGCCTATCAGCCCTTTGCATGTATCAGCCAACTCTGTTAGCTGATAGGGTCTTGTCTTTGTTATTGTTCTATTGCTGTGAAAAGACACCACAACCAAGGCAATTCTTATAAAAGAAAGCATCAAACTGGGGACTTGCTTATAGTTTTAGAAGGGTTAGTACATGATCATGACAGGAAACAGATGGGCAAGGTGTTGGAGCAGTAGCTGAGAGTTTTACATCTTGATACACAGGCTGTGGGCAGAAAGAGAGACTGGGCCCACTGTGAACTTTTGAAATCTCAAAGACCATCCCCAACAACACACCCCCTCCAACAAGGCCATACCTACTAATCCTTTCCAAACAGTTCCATTAACTGGAAACCAAGCATTCTAATAGATGAACCTATGGAAGCCATTCTCAGCCACCCACCATGTCTTTTAATTCCTTTTTTTTTTTTAAAAAAAAATTTATTCTTTCAGATAAAATAAAAGAGTTGCTGTCTCAAGGTTCGGTGAATTCAGACACTCTTCTAGTCCTCGTGAATGCTATCTACTTCAAAGGGAACTGGAAGGAACAGTTTAACAAGGAGGACACCCGGGAGATGTATTTCAAAGTCAACAAGGTAAACACAGTGCAGTAACAGAGGTGACTCCTGGGCAAGGTCCACTGTTCACATTGGCTTCAGAAACACAAGGAGGCTGCTTCATGTAGCCCACGCCTCTCGTGCCTCTGGTCGGCTCATCAGCCAGGACTCCCTCTCTCAGCTTTGAGGCCTTTCTCTTCCCCTTTGCTTTTGAATGTTGCCAATGGTGGTTACAGTCTATGTGGTTTCAGGCCTGGCCCTGCTTCTGTCACTGGTCATGGTGTCACTGGCAGCTGTTGAGGCCAAACCTGAAGGCAGAGCTCTGCAGTGTACTTTGAACAGTCTGTCATGTAACTTTGGAGATAAGGAAGTCTAAACTCCAGATGTGGTGTGTGAGGCTCTTGTGGCCCTGGAGGCAGCCATTCTTCGTGATTCCCTTCAGTGGTGCACATTCCTTTCTTTTCAGTGTGTCTTCCTAGAAGTCTGTGTCTTTCCGTTCCTTCAGGAGGACCACAACTCCTGCTGGTAGCCACAAAAGAATACAGTGGGAAAATAACCTATCTCACCCTACTGGAAAAGCAGCAGAGGGCACACAGCTGTCTAATGAGTGCTGGCTTATGGTCGGTGCTCTGTAAACACTGAAGCAGTGTGTGAAATTCAGTCTTGGTTTGATGGGAGAAGCTCAGAATTTTGCTTATAGGCAAGCACACAAAGGGTGTGTATATGGGATAGACTCCACATTCAACCTCTTCCTGGTTGGAGCATGTTATTTGTTGGTGGCCCAGTGTTTTTTTTGTTTTTTGTTTTTTGTTTTTTGTTTTTTGTTTTTGGTAATCATATCTAGTTTCTCTCTCTTTCCCTTCATCCCTCTCTCCCTCCCCCCTCTCCCCATCTCTCTCTTTCTCTCCTTCTTCCTCCCTCCATATATTCCTAGTCTGACAAAACAAATTACATCACAATCTGGATCATTAACCAGATCTTAGATCTACCAGGCAAACTTGAATTTGAACCTCAGGTTTCTTAGGAAATGCATTTTATTTCAAGATTTATTCTTAAATAAATATTCTTAAATAAACTGTTCTTTTATTTCCTAATTAAAGTATTTCTGTCTTTGAAATCAGTTGTTGACAAGAGGTATGTTAGGACTCCCTTCACCTGGAAGCAACAGAAACCCTAGATGACTACAGTTGAACTCATACAAGTCCATCACCCACTAGGAGGGTAGGAGATGGGAGGGTAGGAGCCTGAGGCTTCCTGCCGGGGTGATGCTCTTGGGACTGACTCTCCTTTCCTGGTCTACCACCTTTAGCATGGAGCCTTTTTTCTCATGCTCATACCAGGGCTTTTACCCTGACTCAGCAGTCCACACAGAAAGACGTAAGGCTGCGAGCAACCTCCTTCTGAAACCTTTCCCATTCGCTATATAAGTGAAACTACTTATTGTGGCTCCTGCTAAGTGCGGACCTAGAGACATTGTCTTTCTTCCTTGTCTCTGCAGTGTTAGAGGGTTAAGACAGACCAGTTTGTGGCTCCATCAGATGTTGACTGTAATCCATATATGTTGTCATACCTCCAAAGGTACAAGACTTTCTGTAGGGATAGATTTGTATTTAAATTATGAGCAGTATTCCTGCTCACTAGTTTGCCATTAATATCATCTTCAAATGTTACTTAAGAGCATACTGTGCACTAGGCATTAACTGGTTGAGTGTGTCTGTCCTCGTGAAGCTTTGTTTTCCTGGAGGAGAGAAATTTGAAATGTGCATAGGTAAGAACACAGTGGTTGGTGGGAGGGCTCTGGAGACATCCATTGGAGGTGGCAGGGTGCTGTACTTGGGTGTGGTTGCAGAGGAGGACTACTGAGGAAACCTTCACTGGGAAGATGGTATGTGAGCAGACACTAGGTCATAAGAGGAATGTTCCCGGTCTGAGGACCAGTTGGTTGGGCAGAAAGGACTTAATTTAGCTAAGCACAACACTATGACTATAGTGGACCAAAGAAGAGAGAGATGGGAGTAGGACAGGAAGCAGGGCAGGGTGTTTTAACGACTTTAACTTTTGCTCCTGTTAGAGTGGAACCACACATAAAAGTAGATGTACAGCCACAGTAGTGTGGTCTGACTTCCCTGTGCTGGGACCTATGGCACCCTGCTGAGATCAGTAACTGTATCTCTGGGCTGTGGTGATTGCAGTGGAGATTTAAAAATAAAGTCAGATTTAGATTATATTTCAAAGGGCAGACAATACAGTTTAGTCATGAGTCAAACGCAGGATATGAAAGAGTGACATGAGTCAAGGGCACAAATTGAGTTTGGCAACTGGAAGGAAGACATCACTGTCAACCAGGACAACTAAGAGTTGTAGGTAGAGTAGCTGCTGTACAACGGAATATCAGGGGTCAAATAGAAAATACATAACTTCGGAATTCAGGGAGAAGTTAAAACTAGAACAGTGAATTTGGGAATTAAGTTCAAAGTCATGAGAACAAATGAGACCCCCAATAGAACAGAATTATAGGCCCAGGACATCCCAGGTGTTTGGCGATTGGGTCAGTCAGCTTTCTGTGGAGATAGCCAATTTAATAAGAGAAAGGGTTTATTTGACCCAGTGTTAGAGGTTTAAGTCTGTGATGAGATGAACCCATTGTCTTGGGGCCTGTTTTGAGGGTACTGGAATGGAATACTAGGAGCAGGTATCAGAGTGAAATGCTTTACTTCAAGGCCAGGAAATGAAAACAGGGAAAAAGTCCAGGGTCCCACAATCCTTTTCAAGGGCCCATCCCAATGACATAAACACCTCTCTCTAGCCCCCACCTCTTAGAATTCTACTTCTATGGCAGGCATGGTGGCACACACCTTTAAGCACAACACTTGGGAGACAGAAGCAGGTAACTCTCTGTGAGTTCAATCCCAGCCTGGTCTGAATGCCAAGTCTTAGGCCAACTAGAGCTATATAGCAAGACTCTGTCTCAAACAAACAAGGTTCTACCTCATTCCAATCTAGCACACCTGAGGAACAAACCTTGAAAAAGGGGCCTTTGGGAGCATGTAAGGTCTAAACAAGTGTTTGAGAGGCTGATGAAGTGTTATAGAAGTCAATTTGAGAAAATGCTTCTAAGGCTGGAGAGCTGGCTCAGCAATTAGAAAAACACATTCTTGAAGAGGACAAGAGTTCGAATCCAGCTCCTACCAGTGTTTCATAACCATCCATAATTCTAGTTCAGGGGGATTTGACACACTCTTCTGAAATATGCAGGCACCAAATACACACAATCATGTGGTATACATAGATACATTCAGGTCAAGCACTCATACATATACAATATAATCAAAAAGCAAGTATTCCTAGTTGCAGTGACAGGCTTCCTTGATTGGATCTGCCCAATGTGTCACTTGTGTCTCCTTTTAACAATATTTATCCATCCTTCACAGGACGAGGAGAAACCCGTGCAAATGATGTTTAAGAAGTCTACCTTTAAAATGACCTATATTGGAGAGATATTCACCAAGATTCTGTTGCTTCCCTATGTCGGCAATGAGCTGAACATGATCATCATGCTTCCAGATGAGCACATTGACTTGAGAACGGTAAGGATCATGAGACCTTCATGGAGCTGTGAGAGAGAAATTGAGTGGCATTTGAGTTTCTGCAGGGGCAGCCTTCCTAGACTCCCATGATCTGTTTTTATCTTCCATTCATTTGTGAGGCTGGGGTGGAACCCAGACCCCAGAGCATGCTTGTCAAATGCTCATCACTGAGCTGCACCCTAGCCCCTCCCAGCTGCCATATTTCCCTTCAGTCACACTTCCCCCAGTAGCTAGAGCCTCATCATCATCTCAAGCTGTCATCTGTGTGACAACATTGTTATAAAGTCTTCAACTCTCTTCTAGGTGGAAAAGGAAATAACTTATGAGAAATTCATGGAGTGGACAAGGCTGGACAAGATGGACGAAGAAAAGGTGGAGGTTTTCCTCCCACGGTTTAAACTGGAGGAGAATTATGACATGAAGGATGTCCTATGCAAGCTGGGCATGACTGATGCCTTTGAGGACAGGGCAGACTTTTCTGGAATGTCTTCCAAGAAAGGCCTGTTTCTGTCCAAGGTTGTGCACAAGTCCTTCGTGGAGGTCAACGAGGAGGGCACAGAGGCTGCAGCTGCCACGGCTGCCATTATCATGATGAGGTGTGCGATGTCCGTCCCCCGCTTCTGTGCCGATCACCCCTTCCTCTTCTTCATTCAGCATGTTAAGACCAATGGGATTCTGTTCTGTGGCCGGTTCTCCTCTCCCTGAGGAAAGGGTGTTCTGTGGGTCTTTTACCCAGTCTCCATGGTTTGCCTGTGACCCAAGTGACCTTATCCCTAAGTGCAATGACAATTTTGAAATAAAGTGCTTTCTAGCATCCCACCTTCAGAATTGAATGTTTGTCTGTCTCCAAGGAGGGCTTTTTCTATGATCTGAAGTTACATTTCTGGGGGTTTGTGGTGTTGCTGGTTACAGAGCTCATCCTTGCTGGAGGACCCTGTGGCTGCAACACAGGCAACCATGTGTCCCCTGTGGCACGAGAAGAGAAGCAGTCCTTCTGTCTCCTCTCTTGGAAGCATTGGGATCTTATAAACACCAGGTGACTCTCTAATTAGTGACAAGTATTACAACTAGAAAGGTGACAGGTTTCTGCAGCTGTGCTTGTCGCTTTCTGGAAATACAATAGAAGCATTCAGCAGGAAGGAAACAGATTGAAGGGGGCATGGTCCATGTGAAAGACTCATGTTGGGATTCTAGGGGATGGACTTTCCACGACCTGTGTGCAGTTTCACAGCAGCCAGGATCTCTTCTGATTTCACTGATTCTGCTCACATACTGCCAAGCTGCAGTGACAAAGTGGGTAACATTAGGAGATGTGGACTATAGGAGTTGATGTGAGGAAAGGGAGGTGAAAGCTTGCTGCTTTTGATGCTCACCCTTTGTCGGTGTCCTATTGCTATAGCACAAATATCTGAGACTGGAAAAGCTGAGCGCAATGGTACAGGCTTGTAATTCCAGCACATGGGAGATATCAGTGGAAGGATCGGGTATTAAAGCCATCTGGGGTTTACTGGAGTTTAATGACACAAACTAAATGAACCTAGTGGACAGCTACAGAACCTTCCATCCAAAAACTAAAGAATACATATTTCTCAGCAGCCCATGGAATGTTCTCTACAATCTATTACATGTTAGGACATAAAGCAAGCCTCAACAAACTTAGAATAATTGAAATAGTATCTTCCAGTCTACCTGAACACAGTGGAATAAAGCTAACTACCACTAGAAACTACAGAAAATACACAAACTCATAGAGACTAAACAACACATTACTGAATTGGTAATTGGGTCAAGGAAGAAATCTGTAAAGAAATTTATAATTCCTAGAATTGAATGAAAATGAAAACACAGCCTACCCAAATCTATGGGACCCAAGACAGTCTTAAGAGGAAAAAGTTCATTATAACACTAAGTATCTATGTCAGAAAATTGGGAAATGTCAAATTAATAACTTATGAAGTACCTGATGTCCCTGGAAAAACATGAACAAACAGCATCTCAAACAGCATGGGAAGAGATAATCAAATTTGGGGCTAAAATCAATGAAACAAACAAACAAAAACAAAAAAATACAAAGAATCAAGGAAACAGTAGTTTCTTCAAAATAATTAAGAAGACTGACAACTTTTTCACCAAATTATCCAAAAAGGGAAAAGCTCTAAATTAGTATAATTAGGGATAAAAAGGAGACAAACATGCCAAGAAAGAAATTAGGGAAATAATAGCATTCACAATTGCCCTGCCTCCCCAAACCCACTTAGTCAGGCAGCCTGAAGAATAGAAAAAAAAATAACAACAAAAAAAAACTGTTACCAGTTATAATCTGGCAGTGTTAGTATCTAGAATATATGAGAAAAGGGGGAAAACATAAATATTAAGAAAACAAATAACCACCAGGCGTTGGTGGCACATGCCTTTAATCCCAGCACTCGGGAGGCAGATGCAGGTGGATCTCTGCGAGTTCGAGTTTGAGCCAGCCTGGTCTCCAGATCGAGTGCCAGGATAGGCTCCAAAGCTACACAGAGAAACCCTGTCTGGAAAAACCAAAAAGAAAGAAAGAAAGAAAGAAAGAAAGAAAGAAAGAAGGAAGGAAGGAAGGAAGGAAGGAAGGAAGGAAGGAAGGGAGGGAAAGGAAAGAAAGAAAGAAAGAGAAAGAAAGAAAGAAAGAAAGAAAGAAAGAAAGAAAGAAAGAAAACAACCCAATTAAAAATTGGGACATGGAACTAAACAGAGTTCTCAGAAGAATAAATGTAAAAGACTAAGAAATTTATTGTTTAAATGTTCAACATTCTTTGCTATCAGCAAAGTTCAAGTTAAAACTGCCTTGAGGTGTCATCTTACCCCAGTCAGAATGGCTAAGACCAAAAAACAAAACGAAGCAAAACAAAACAGAACAAATGCTATAGACGTGGGAAAGGGAACACTATTCACTGTTGATGGGAGTGCAAACTGGTACAGGCAGCATGGAAATCAGTGTTCAGTGTGGCGTTTCTTCATAAAGCTGGAAATAAACATACCATATGATCTAAATATGCTGCTCTTGCTCATAACCCCCCCAAACTGTGTCTTACTAGATAGATACTTTCTCATCTATGCTCACTGCTACTCTATTCACAATAGCCAGGAAATGGAAATAGGCTAGACGTCTACCAACTGATGAGTATGTAATAAACAAGGTGGTGCAGTTCGTTCACAATGGAATATTATTCAGCTGTTAATAATAACGAAATTAAGAAATTTGTAGACAAATGGATGGAGAAGGAAATAATCATTTGGAGTGAGATAATCTAAATTCAGAAAAACAAACATTGCATGTTCTCTCTTACATGTGGATGCTAAATTTGAATCTTTGGATATGTGTATTTAAGTTGAAGTATTGGTAGATGTCAGGAAAATGGTAATGGACCATAGGGATGCCCTTTAAGGTGGAGAGGGAGATGGTGTGAAGAGGAAATGAGAAATACGGATTGGGTGGTCTGGAGAATGGGAGGGCAGGAGAGAGGAGGGAGTGTAGGCAGGAAGAGCCAACACCCACGCGCCCCATTCCCAGCTGATGCACTTTTAGCACAGATAATAATGGCTACTAGATACATGCTCCAAAAATTTCTTCCTTGCCCAGATTTGGTAATCGTTTCTCCCTACTTAATGCTTGCTTTCCTCGTATCTTAGCTGCATCAGATTCTAGGATAAATGCCTAGAGCAGTGGTTCTCAACCTTCCTAATGCTGTGGCCCTTTATATAGTTCCTCATGTTGTGCTGACCCCAACCATAAAATTATTTTCTTTGTTACTTCATAGCTGTAAATTTTCTACTATTATGAGTTGTAATGTAAATATCTGATTTCTGATGGCCTTAGGTAACCCCTGTGAAAGGTGAACTTCAGAGATGTTTTCCAAATATGGAGAGTCAAAATGTTATGGGTTGAGTGTCAAAAGCATGTTTGGCTGTTTGGTCTTTTTAAACAGCCTGTCTATTTTCTTCCTCTGTATATAACATTCTTGTGATCTAAAATGAAGCTATTTAATGAGATTAGCTTCAAAGAGATTTGTGACAGCCTTATTAAAACCTATCTTTACTTTGCCCCCCCACAATGTCCTCTAAAATCAAAACTTCAAATCTTACTGTCATTCCCTTTATTAATACATGTTTCATCATCATCTCTTCTATTTACTCTCTATTTCCATCCCTTAATCATTTCCAACTAAAAATGATTTAAAAATTCTTCAAGGACTTCCTAATATGCACTTATGGGTATTTCTTTAATAACTACCTTGACTCTTATATACATAGATAGATGGCTCTTCATGCTGTATGTATGCTGTAGTAATACCTTGTTTATACTCTTAACAAATAAAGCTTGCCTCAAGAGCAGAGGGCAGAGCTAGCCACTAGTTAACCATAGAGTTCTGGAGGTCTGTACAGACAGGAAGTGATATGGTGGGAGGAGACAGGAGCTCACTCATTTTGCCTGGGAAGTTGAGTAGGTAAGGTGGCTGTGGTTTGCTCCTTTGTCTCTCGGATCTCTCAGCATTTTCTCCTATATCTGACTCTAGGTTTTTATTATTAAGACCTATTAGAACTCATGCTACAGCATGCTGATCCAGTTCACCCAGAATACAGTCCTGCCACACTGTGTGGACTTGTGTAAACACCAACTTTTGCCCCAGAGACCAATATTCACTGTAGATCATGGAGCCCCACCCTATCTGTTACTGTCCAATTTTAGCTTAGAAGAAGTTAGACTCTAGTCGATACCCATTACCCCTTGGGTTTCCTCTACCCTCCTTTCCTGTAAAATCCTTCCTCTATGTCTTTTTGACATAATCAAAAAGTCTAGGAATGTAACATTAGACTCCAGACCGGACTGCTGCTATGACCAAACATAATGCCTGTGAATCTCTCCAGCTAACAAACTTCCAGGTGCTATGGCATCTTACTGAAGAAGTGAGTTTACAACAGACAAGGTTTGGTGGCCACAAATCCTTCTCGCCACATCTTCCCCTGTCTCCTGCTGGGGAATCAGAGAGTCAGGCAACAGGCTCCTTCACTGAAACTCCTCCCTCAGAGAGCTGTATCAGTGAGCCCTGGGTCTGATGACCAGCTCAGTAATTATGGGCACTGGCAGCTCTTTTGGAGGATCCAGGGGATCCAGTGCCTCCTTTGACCTCGGCAGGCCACAGGCAGCATGTGGCACACAGACATACATACAGGTGAAACATACACACACATACACATAAAATAAAATTTAAAAAAAAGAAGAGACAGTGACTCTGACCTGTGAGCTTCATTCCTATCTTCCGGAGGCTCTTTTATAGACCACATTGCAATGTCCCGAGCCTTTTCAGGACCAAATTGATTCCTTTACAGCAAACCACGATGCCCTTGATGTACTTACAGCAGCCCCTGCACTTGAAGTAGCACACTTTGTTTATGTCAATCAACAAAATGCAAGTGAAATCTAACATGCTTTAAGAAGATGTGGTAATGCTGTGTACAAGAAATGGATCCGACTCATGCAGAAGAGTTCTAGCCTCTCCTGTTCTAATCTAATAGTCCTGAACAAAATCTGTCCTCTTTATTTATTGAACAACACAGCAAATATGGCAATGTAAAGTACTGAGGAATTTTGTCTTAATTGATCCTTTGTAGGAGCCTCAGAAGGGGGTTTGGTTTTGGTCCTGTGACTCCGTACAGCACACAAAGCCAGAATCGGATCTTATCAATGGATCTCTACCTATGGGTTTTTTTCAACATTTTATTTTAGGAGAGGCTGTTGTTTTCTTTTCTTTCTTTCTTTCTTTTTGGTGGGGGCTGGTATTTGA